ATGATTTGATCAGGGAGCACACAAGAAAGATTAGAGTTTGATTTAAAAAAAAACCAGAAATTACCGGGTTTTGTGTTTGGGCTGCAGTTTCAGGTTCTTGGAATTTCTAGCAAGGTTTCAAGGCTTTTTTTTTCAATGTCTCCCCCCTTGATGTTTGCAAATGAAGTTGAATTTTTAGGCAAATAATTTAGAAGCTTGGAGAAATCAAGAGTACAACCATCATGGATTATGGATCGATGACAAGCATGTTTCAAGGCAAGGTAGGGTGATTAGCAGCTTTAAACACACCTACTCTGAGTTTGTAAGCAAGATTTATGGAGGAAGTACACTCAGAAGCCAAGTAAAGTATGGGATCAAAATGAACTTTGTACATATATTTTCTTTTCAAGGACAACAATGGTACTTCTATGCCACACGTGGGAAAATCCTTTGGATAAAAACTCAAAAGTTGGTGTGAGCATTAAATGATGATGAAATTTAACAAGCAAGAAAGCCTGCAACATGAGATTGTGCAGCAAATTTGAATCTGGATCAGAAGTTCAGCATCAGCGTAACTTAGAACAAATCTCCAACTTCTAATCTTTGAATCTCCCTTCTCCATCATGATCTGAAAGAGTTCTAAGATTTTTTAGAAAGCTTGCAACATGCTTTGTAAACCCTCTTTGAATAATCTTTGCAAACTCTGATTGAACCTACGTGAAAACTGGCCCATAAGTTGTAACCAAATTCTGACATGAAAATGCTCAGAATTTACTAAGTGTTTTAGTTTCATGGGCGTGTCTTCAAAGATTTATAATTTGAAATCCCAGAATTTTTAGGGGAAACTTTATTATGCAATGTTTTAGATCTCGTTAAGATCTACAACTATTGTGTCAGAAGTTCTTCCTGAATCATCTTGCATTTATATGAAAATCTGGCCAGAAGTTCTGAACTTATCATAGTTTTTCTTAACACTTAAAAAAATTTCTAAGTGTTTAGAACTTTGACTTTTCCAAAGCAAATTTGACTTTTGATTTTCTTGATGAAACAAAATTCATATTCTACCATGTCTTGATGAAATATGATTTTTGAAACTTGATTTTTGATCCCAAAGTCAAAGTTTGACTTTTCAGTGTGTATTTTGACCATTTTGCCCCTTGTGTCAATTCCAAGCCTAAATTGATGTATTAGTGCTGCAAACATGAGCCATATAAGATCTTGTGAGAAAATTCTTGAGAAATGAGAGGATAAATTTTAGGGTACAACAGCTTCCCCTGTTCAATATTCTTAAACTTGAAGAGTTAGATTGGCGAGCCCGCCATTCGTGACTTGAAGGTGGAAGATGATTGAACACTAAAGTGCCCAGAAATTTGCACTTGATGAGGTATTAGTTGACTGTGTATGGAATGGGCTTAAAGATTCCATTTGGAGAAATGATGGAAAGTTGTTGGAGATGGGCTTATAGATGCCATCCAGAGTTACTGTGGGAAGTATCAAGATAAATCTTTTGGTTGATTTATAATGAAATAATAGATGTCTTTTGCCTGTTTTTAATTTGGAAGAAATGAATCTAACCAGAATAGGTCTTTGGTCGCCTGTCATTTACTGGAAGAAATTAATATAACCAGAAGAGGAATTTGTATTCTTCTATTTATGATGAGTCGTTGTAGGGTTGCTTTTAGGAGACATATGAGAGGGAAGCCTGGGTAGGGCTGCTTCAGGATGAGTCCGTGTAAAATTGCATTTGGAAATGTAGCAAAGGAACCTGGGTAGGGTTGCTTCATGATGAGTCCGTGTGAAACTTCATCTGGAAATGTATGAGAAAGAACCTGGGTAGGGTTGCTTCATGATGAGTCCGTGTAAAACATCATCTGGAAATGTACTAGAAGGAACCTGGGTAGGGTAACTTCATGGTAAGTCCGTATAAAACTACATCTAGAAATGTATGAGAAGGAACCTGGGTAGAGTTGCTTCAGGATGAGTCAGTGTAAAACTTCATCTAGAAATGTATGAGAATGAACTTTAGAAGGGTAACTTCATGATAAGTCCGTGTAAAACTTCATCTAGAAATGTATGAGAAGGAACCTGGGTAGGGTTACTTCAGGATGAGTCCGTGTAAAACTTCATCTGGAAATGTTTGAGAAGGAACCTGGGTAGGATTGCTTCAGGATGAGTCTGTGTAAAACTTCATCTGGAAATGTATGAGAAGGAACTTGGGTTGGGTAACTTCATGATGAGTTCGTGTAAAACATCATCTGGAAATGTATGGGAAGGAACCTGGGTAGGTGTTATACCCCAATTTTTGCCCCTAAGATCCCTCATCACACTTTGTACATTTCGCACATAGCATTGGTCTCATGGTTATAAGATCGAAGCGCTTTGGTATTAGGGTTTCTCTCTCTGAATTTAGTTTACTATCTTACTCAAAATTGATTCAACTGGCGCTCTAATTTTTCTTGTCATTGAGATTAGGGTTTTGGATCTCAAGCAGTATAGATGTCTTCGCTATCAGGTGTCCTCAAGATACAAATTTTTTCATCAAGGTTCTTTCAAGGAACAAAGGTATTAGGGTTTAACTCAGCCGAAGGTCAGGGATTTTGACGAATTAGGTTTGTTGAATGGCTTTAAGGCTCTTATCTTTGCATAAGCTTGTTTCAGTTGATTTCTCCATCAATCATTTGTTCAAACTAGGACTTTATTTCCTGGACTTCTTTATCATCAAACTACAGGGATATTATCTCTCCTGAGCATCAGGTTGCAATCTTTCTTCAATGCTTAAGAATTAGGGTTTTCTTTTGTTATGCTTCAACTGGGGATCATTGGATTAGGGCTTGATCTTGTGGTTATCTTGAGCTTCTCCTTCTTCAACATTGTGGACTTGTTTTGAATGATACAGTTTTTGGTTCTCATCAAGTACTTGTTACTTCAATTGCAAGTTAACTTGGACTATTGAGAGAAATGACTAGTGATTTGGATTCATTGAAACTTCTAATCGTGCTCAGAGTTAATATTGATTCAAGGGCTTATTAAGTTCAAGACTTTGTTAACGGTTGATTCAAGATAGGATCAGGAGCTTATTTAGATAATTTTATCAAATGAAAGATGGTTGTTTCAAATGCAAGATGACTAGAATTTATGGATTCAATTGAGATTAAGGTTCATTAACCAAGCACGCCATTTGAAGTCAACTGAGTTTCGACTTGTCATGAACGCTTGAGTTACATTAAGGATCGATTTAAGATAAACATGGAATAGAAGTTTTTAATGTGATTCAAGGATAAGTCATTTAACTTGCTTGAAGAACAAGATATATGTGAGAGATGATACAGGGCTTGTGGATAATTTTCCTGGTTTTCTTGTACTCATAATATAAGTGATTCATCAATTGGCTTTGCTTAGAATTTGTATTATGTTTGAGATACAAAAACAAGATTTTGAACTTAAGGATAAAAAAGGGGATCCCTCCCATTCAAAGGAAGATTAGGGTTTATATCCTATCATACTTGGGTTTATCAACGTTTTCAACGGGTGTTCATTGGATAACCAAGCGTGATGTAAGGATGGCATTATGAATTCATTAAGATCAAGTCGGGTTGGTTGTATTATTGTTTGCCACACAATATTATTGGGGATCAAGGTATTGGATCCATTCTCTCATAAAGGACAGAGCGCGATATTAGGGACCATTTGGTTCATGGTCATCAATTAAAGATTGGGCTTGTTTCATGGCATATGATATAAGTCATTTGCTATGGAATTCTTTCAAGGAATTTGAATTTTGATCATGGAGTTTTACTTGGATTATTTCAAGAGAGATATCATTTAAATTTAATTTTTTATTTTAAAAACATCATCTAATTTCATTACTAATGCAAGCTACAGTGTCAATTCATCCAAAATTCCTAGATGTGTTTAGATGACATCAAAGGTTCTTAAATTCATGTTTGGTCAAGGGTTGATTACAAAGGAAATTTGGAAGGTAATACTATGAATACTGGAGGGAATTATCAGGGAGTCTTCCAAACATTACAACATTCCAAGGTTACATTTCAATACATGTGATTTTACACTTCGTCACCATCCCTACATATTTACATAAAACCTACCAAGAAACTTAATGCTCTAACCTAATCTTCTATCCAAAACCTTCACGTTTCAATATCCTTCAAATCCTTTGCCATAACTCCATAATTTTGTATCTTCAAAATTGCATCTTCAAGCTTCTAAAAACCATTTATTCCCGTGTTCAAGACCAGGCCTTTCAATTAATCAAATGCATAAAACCAGATTAGTTTCGCTAACAAAAATATAAAAATACTTTGAAATATTTCATGCTGCCAAAACTAGACAATTCAAAAACATGTCAAAAACTGTTAACAGAAACCAGAAAACTGAAAGAAGATCTAGTGACCAAGCAGAATTTCTAACAGCATAATAGTTCCTAATACTAAAAGAAGTTTCAAAACCAATGACTATGAACAAACTGCTAACCTTTCCAAGAGAATGGGACTTTACAGTGAGTTGTTTGGAAAAGTAGTTTTTGCAAGCAAAGTTCCTTTTCCTAACTACCGACCAGATTTGGATGAAAAACATCCACAAAGAGAGGTTGTGATTCCTCTAAGCTTACAAAGGAGGCTGGAGGGTTTAGTGCAGGAGTACCTTGATAGGCTACAGTTAAATTCTGAAAAGACTACTGACAGTTTGGATAGTGTTAATTCTACCAATCAGGTTAAAGATATAGACATGAATGAAAATACCATTTCTTTTGTGGAGGAGTTTGTTGTGGAAAAGGTTCTCCAGAAGAGGAGTTTGAGGATGCGTAAGATGCAAAGATATTGGCAGGAATCTCATGAAGGCAAGAAGATACTGGAATTTTGGAAGTCTTTGCCAGCATTTAAGGAGACGGAAGGTTTACTTCAAGCTATAGCATGTAATCAGATTTCTAAACCTCTCTAACCGCCTAATTTATACCCTCATATTCCCTAACAGAAATCTAGATCCAAGGGTTCAAATCAATTCACTCATAACCAACCCTCTAACTTCCATAACCAACTATAACAAACTGGTAACCAACTTCCTAACAAAAGAAAAATAACAAAAAATGGGGGAGCCAGAAGGAGAGAGGGGTAACAGAAAGAGAGAAAGGGGGATACAATGGATTCAAGAGGAAATTACAGAAAAACTTACCAAAAGATCTCTTCTCTGGCGGCACAATTCTAAAAGTATCTCCATCTACTTCATCAATATGGAATTCTGCAGAAGAATCTTTAACCTTCTCTTTGCTCGTCTCACGTTCATGCTAGACCTCAGTAGAAGAATCATAACAAAATCTAAGAAAATTCTCATTGTTACTCGACACTTTATCTGCATTCAGGTTCCATTTTCACCATTTTTCCTTCGCTTTCATCCTTCATTTTAACCTGTTGAGTTTATCTTCAATCTCCAATCTTCATCTCTCTACATAACGAGTAAATAACACCTTCATCAATTTTGTTGCAACATTCTTCAACGCCAAGAACAAACTCGTCGTAGCCGCTTCGTATTCATCAACCTTCTCCAGCAAGTATACCTGCAACAACGAATGGTGTATCCTTAGCCTACACTAAATCAATGTATTGTCACAACATACGCGATTCAGAAACCAAGAGGTACAAGAAGGCTCAGAATTACGACTTTGCAGAATTGCAGAAGAAGAGTAAAAGCCAAAAAGATGAAAAAGGTACAAACCTGATAAAAAATTGAAGAAGCACCAGACTATTCTCCGGCAGGTAAACTTTGAAGCTTTCAATTCTCGTATATTGATTTGTTCACATTCATGTTAGCCATTGAAATCCGTGAGTAGAGAGAACGGAATTGAGTGAATATGAAGCTGAAGCAGATCAGCCACGAACAAGAAGGAGGGAAGAACTACCCGAACCTGAAATCTTTGATTGAGACGAAACACAATCGCATCGGAACATCAGAGGGCTATAATCAGGATCGTTTACATGTGCTTCTTGATCAATCTTGAAACACTTTGATGTGCTTTGGTGTCTACGAGCGATAACAACACTGGAATCGTGGTATTTGGCCGGAATACACGCCATTTTGAAGATTAGGGTTCCTTGTTCTTCTTCGTTGATTCGGCCATATGAAGGGTTTTTAGGAGAAATTGATGGTGAATCTGGATTCAGAGTTTTGTCTTAGGGTAGGTACGTGTTGGACCATGTTGATTTAGACTGGTTTAGTGGTGGCGTTCGCGGCGGCATGCTTGCCGGAAATCACAGCTTGAAAAGGAGAAAGAGAATCAGAGGTGAGTAAATAAGTTGAAGGTGTAGCGGTAGAAATGTTCAAGACTAAGCCATTGGATTGACTAGACTTTATACAAATCAAAAATAAAAATCGCCACCGCGCTTTATTGTTTCCAAAGGAATGGGAAAAGAGCGAATAACCTAAAAAAAGGGGGAAAGATTCAAGGTAAGGGGGTTGGTTATGCAAAGGGAAGGTATTAGCACCCTAAATATCTACGGTACTCCGTAGCAGCCTCTTTGTAAAATCTGTATATTTTGGCTATAAAAATGTGTTATATATAAAATGGATGGTGGAGGTGAGAAAAGAAATATATTTTTTTTATGATTTTTGCACCCACCGCAGTTGCAAACCTTTAGGGACTACGTACCACCCTTCATGCAATAGGGGATCAGGGTACACGTAGTTCCTCTTTTAAAAGTTTGAAACACAAGTGTGTTGGTTAATTTTATGAGATAAGACATCATCGTCATTGTCCGTGTGAAAACATACTTACTACCCACAATCATGAGAAAGGAGAATTTGCATCATCTCAAAGTGGAGGATATGGCTTTGATTTTAAAATCAACAATGCCTCACTCAACACCCAAGTGGAAAATATCTCTCTTCACTACATATTATAGAAGTATAGTTGTTTGCATCACTACAAGGATTGACAAGAGTCTAACCTTTTGAGAAAAGTTTTAAAGGTAAAAGCCAAAGTGGAAAAAATGGTTTGAAATGAGATTGGTTAACTTTTAGTCTTCTCACAAAAAATGTCAAGCTATTATTAAATTGTTTGAAGTTTATTTATGAAAATGTTTTGAAAATGCATGGACGTAAGTCAAAGTTTATTATGAAAGTAGTTTAAGTTTTAAAACAAGAAGAGTTTAAAATGGAGGGAGATGATTTTTGAAATTAAGGAAGATGGGAGGAGTAGAAGAGGATATCCTAAAGCATAAGGTAAAACCTAAGGATAAGAACCATCTAACCAACAAGAAGCCAAAACTTGAAATTATGAGTCAAGATAGAATTCCCATTCTTTGGATTGAAACCAAGCAAGCAAAGATACTAGACCTCTTCAAGTGTATTAAGTCTTCACAAAAAATGGACAGAGTAACGGCTGTATACGGATGAATTCCAGATTACAAACAAAGGATGTAATCACAAAAACCTGCACACAAAAACAAACAAGCAACCCAATGTCTTGAGGTAAACCTCAAGAACTCCAGACAAAATAATCAGAAAAGATCACAAGGTCTCCAAGATAGGATAAGGTTTCTAATCCTAAGTCCAAGAAAAAGTCACATGCTCCATAATACCAAGGATAGTAACCAAATAGTCCAAGTACCATTAAGAGTTTTTTAGGGTTTAAGTTGATTATTAAGTATCTTAAGAAAAGAAAAGAAAAAGCTCAAGTGAGCAAAGTAAAAATAGCAAGAATATAAATGCTCAAATGAGAAAATATGAAAAAGGCATGAAATGTAAATGCTAAAAAATAAATAATACATAAAGCATAAAAAGAATAAAAGCATAAGATAAAACAAGTCAATAATTAGTGGTTAGTTGAATGACCATCTTGAAACTTTCATTTAGAACTCATTAGAGGATTGGTAGAACCAAAGCCTCTACACAACAAGTTGCATTTGCTTTTTGTCAAGTATATCATCCATTTGGAATTCTCACAAGTACCATTTCATGATCAACGATGTTTAAGTGATCTGCGTTGACCAAAGGTGTTGTAGATCCATTAGAGGAATTGTAGAACCAAAGCCTCCACACAATGAATCTCAAGGTTATTGGATCAAAGAGATCAAATTAACATACTTGGGCTTGCAATCATAAGTTTGGGCCACAAATGATCATTTATTCGAATCGGGACAAAATTTAGCGCTATGTTAAGCAATCGTAAGTGGACTTATATAGAAGTCGCACCTATTTTGAGGCCAGTCAATAGCAATCTATGCACCATATGTTTTGAGACATGATATAGAGATCATGCTCCAACAACATTTAGTGCAATGAAAAGGGGATGAGATGAAGAGGAATTAGGGTAAAAAAAGAAACCACATTTGAATTAATATTTAATCAAACTATTATTAAAATCATTCATCCATTTTTTGTGGAGTTAAACTCAACACCGTGGATCCAATGATGTTAATAAAGCCATGACCAAAAAAATCATCCCAAGACAGCCAGAAAATATTCACAAAATAATAATATAATTAATATATACATTAAAGGGTTTTTTAAATGTTTTAAAAAATGGAAAATAATGAAGAAAATGCCAATTATATTCAAATTAAACAAGAAATGAAAACTAAGACCATAGAAAAATCAGAAAAGAGGCCAAGTGATTTTATAAAAATTTTGGGAATTTTTAAAAGTCAGAAACTATTTTTAAAAATTAAAATAAATGGGTAAAATAAACAAAAATAGTAAAATATAGTAAAGTCAGAAACAAAAATAAAATAAGGTTACCAGTATTTATCACAATATCATTGGATAATTCCTTAATTTTTTCAGAATTTAAAAAATATGTAAAAGTATTTTTAAACATTTTAAACAAATCAAATAAGTGTAAAATTCATAAAAAATACCAAAAAACAAAATTAAATTGTGAAAAATAAATATCAGAAAGAGAATAATCAAAAATATTTTTCATAATTTTTTCAGATTTTTTGGACTAAAAATGAATTTTCTATGATTTTTTGAAATTTAAAACAATTAAAATATAAAAATCAGAAAAAGAAAATAAAAGAAAAAGATGTGGACCATTGGATGAGAGTCAAAACGCGTTAGTAATCAAATCCAAGGGATCTGGCGCGCTTTGCATATCATGGTCTTTAATGAATAATGTACAAAATCATTAATAAAATCAGAATTTGAAAATAACAAATGTCACGCTTTCATTGGTTAGAAGATGACACGTTGGTCATCTTCAACCTCCAGCCCTCACAAATTGCAGGTCTCTCAAACTGTAAAATCAGAAGCTCAGACTTATGCCATTCGCTTCGTCTCTCAAGACGAAGACAACCACACCCTCGCGCCAAATTTATATAAACTATAGCTCAAGCAATTTGGAAAGAAAGTTTTGAAAAGGGATTTGAAAATTCATGGTCAAAACGTGCTTCCAGATGAAAGTAAGTGTTGCAAATAGAACCAGGGAATGAGAGCAACACAATGATACCAAAGTTTTGAAGAATTAATGAAGGAATCTACCTATTGAAGTTGAGTTGCAGAGCTCTGAAACTGGACTTCTATAGAGCAATATAGGGCACGATTCTTGAATGTAATTATATGGTTAGCTTCAGGGAAGATCAGGGAAGGTGAATTGATGGAAAAATGGATTGAAAAAGGCTTGAGAATAGGATTCAAAGTAGCTGAATTCTGAGTTGTGAAGCAAGTTTGGCAGGGTGATTTTGGCTATCTAAGCTTGGGAAATTGAATTGGGGATGACCCTCTATTTATAAGGAATCAAATGGAATGTTCAAGCGTGTGAAATGATGAAGTTTGGAGGGAAATTGTGTGAACCAGATGCACGAGCAAAGTGTGATCTAATTTATATCAAAACTCATCTAATCCTTGCGTTTCAAGGCTCTAATCCACTTTGGCACCTTGATTAAACATGTTTAGATCACAAACGCGTGCTAATTTAATGTTTAAAGGCCAAAACATGAATTTCAAATTCTGACTTATGGAGAAACATCAGTTCCAAGTTACCAAGTTCATTCCAATGGCATTTCCACCTCAAGGGGTCTTAGGGAAAAATTCTTGATGCTTTGGAAAGATGATGTAACAAGCTTTGTAATGGAAAAAGAATGGAATCAAATGGATGCTTGAGCTAAAAGTTACATGGAGTCAAAGTTGAAGAAAAAGAGTTGATTTTCCATACTTAGAAATATTTCAAATTCTTCTTTAAAAATGACCTATAATCTCTTGCATCCAAACATGGCCTTCCACTTGGAATTTGCTCTTGACCAAAAAAGATGGAATGAAGTAGATCTCTTGAATGACATTTTTCAATTTGAAAAACTCAAAATATCCAAAAATTGAGCAACTTATGACTTGTTGAAGTTGGCCAAAAATCATGAAATGACCTATAATCTTTTGCATTCTTAAGGCAAATTACATCCATTTTTTTACTTTGCACATAAAAGAAGGAATGAAGTACACATGTTTAAGATCATCACGAAAAAATAATGGGCTCAAGGTGGTAAAAATTGACCAAGTTATGACCATTTGAAGTCACGTATGGGGAATTGGGGATTCATCTGGGTGACTTGTAATCTTTCCTCTTCACCAAGTTCCTTCCACATGAAAACTCCTTGGAACTTTTGAAGTGATTTGTTGGTAACTCATTGAAGAGAAGAATGTTTTTGGAATCACTCAAAAATACCAAAAGATGAGCAAGATATGCTCCTTTGAAGTCCAAAACCCTAACCTCTAGATCAAGAGAATGCTTGGTGGAACTTTGCCTAGTTTGAACAAACTTTTTGTGCCAATATTCTTCCTTTGTGAATAGAAATTGTTGAGGATGATGATGAGGACTCATGGCCACCAAAACCAATTCCATACCAACTTCAAAACAACTTCAATGGCGAGGTTTGAATTTCTCAAGCTATTGACTAAGGCATGGAAATAAACTCATGAACCCATGAAGCAACTTGCTAAACCCCATTGCCTTTACCTACATTATTAACAAGTAAGACAAACCAATATTGCATTTTGTTAATTAGAGAGAAAATAATAGCAAAATATCCATGATCACAAAAGAAAACAAGTTAAGGTGCTTGGTAATTCCTCAGAAGAGCAAGGC